AAGTTGTCCAACGCACATTATTAATGCGAGCCCAATACTTGGCTTCACCTACTAAGCACTCTTGTGCAATCGAAATTTCGAGACCATTGGATGGAAGTTCCATCCAATGGTCTCTTTAAATAATTGGTGAGATCTTCCAAAAATGATACTGGATGAGTATTTCCATTTCCAAATTTCGGCTTTTCTATTGTTACATTATGTATATTATATACAATATTTTGCCTAGGATCATTTACATGAGAGGTGCTCGCCCCGGACACCTCTTCTTGATTTATTTTAATTTGGTAATCTTTCGTTTGGTTAATAAATTTTTCCTCAAGATCCTTTATTTTAACCTCAAAGGTTTTCACTGCATTCTTAATTAATTTCTGAAGCATTTTCATCTCATCTTTAGGCTTAGCCTTAACTGAGGTTGATTTTTTCTTATTTTTAGCCATTTTAATTTTTATTTCCACTTTTTTTTTTTTTTTTTACACCTGTTGTGTCCTTCACTTAGTCTAATTGAGTCTTTCCACTTATTTCACTTTTTATTATTTCGCTCCGTTATGCACACACCTCCTATATTATTACTCCATTTTAATATTTAAGCCCCACCCCCAGACTCTCAACCACCCCCAGCAAACACCACTCTCCAAGACACCTCTCCATTTCACGGACAACAAATTGTAGGCATATAGCCTACCTCATAATTTTATATTACCGGCCTCCTATTTAAAATTTAACCTCTATCCTGGTCACGGCACCAAATTGTAACAAACCCCCCCCCCCATCTTTTTTCTCTTCTACTATATATCCACTTATACTTGTATTTCTTTAGAATCTATATCTGTAAGATATATAAATATATCTAATTTACGTGACCAGTATAACTTGATCTTTCTAAAGGTTTAAATATAGGCCGTTTAATAAATTTATGGCGTGATCGTCTTAGTTAGGACCCTTTTTTACGTTGTGTTTGTATAGTAACTTAGTTCTTTTAGGTGTATCTTGGAAGAATGAATATTCACGAGAGCAATCGAAAGCTGTTGGTAGAGTCTTATAAGCTAGAGAACCCCGTTCACGAAGACAGAGCTCAAAAAGGTTAAGAACAATAAATTGTCCCTATTCCACTTGTATCTGGTTCACAACAGTCAATTCCTTATTAATTAATCCCTTCCCGCTTGGAAAAGGCTCACAATATTTATATCAAATACCAGTTACAAGGGCTTCGCTCTCCCACATTTTAAAAAAAATGTGGAGGAGGTACACGGCCCCACACACGCCGCGCACGGTGAGCGCCAACCATTTTAATGCGCTCCCCCCGAAGGGTACGCAAAGTTGGGAACTGGACCGTAGTCCACAGCAAAATAACTGGCGAACCAGTAAAAGAGGACTTGGCCCCTTGATAGTGCGTAAGCACAAACATCGACCGAAGTCGCGCATGTCAATGCGTGTAAACGCCATACAGAATACGATCAAATCCAGTCACAGTGAATGTACGTCACACGGGTTAGGCAACAATAGGCACACTGACCATAAAAAGCCTTCCGTGAGCGCCACCACCTGCCAGACCGCCGTTCCTGCAGACGTGATGTAAGTGTAAGGCATCACCACCAATTGCATGGTCAGCACGGCCAATTGGCCGCAGAGCGTGTCATGAGTCTACCGCTCACCTCAAGGGAATGGGGTCCCACGTTGCGCGACTTTCGGCCGCAGCCTTGAGAGCCTCCTCAGATTCTCCCTCCAGCTACCACCCGCATGAAGTCAACACATATGCTCCACCAACCAATACAATGGCAGATATAGCCAATAAGCAGTTATAAGATAATATTAATAATTCGCCATCAGAAAGGGTTTGTGTCACTGACGTTGAGTATATGCATTTTTCGATCATGTTTGTCTCACCCACCAACAAGTTGCCTTCAATCTCTCAAAGGTGGGAACTTTATAGAGATATATTATTAAGTTGTTATATAAAACATCATGGAGGGCAGACAGTCTGCAGCCCCGCAATGAAGGGACCCGACTTGGGCAAAGCTATTTAGGTTGTGAGTCAAACCAAGACGCAGAGAGCGCCATTGAGAATAGCGACCCGCCAAACAACCATCGTAGAGACGCAATGCTACAGAATGCAACAAGCATCAATACGACTATCGTCGGGCTTACACCATCCCAAGGTCCCCCATACAGTCCCAGCAGACATCACCACCCGCATACCTCCATCGACCAGAACCATAAGATGCATCGAATCAGGTGCAGCACACCCGCAGATCCATCACAAGACACAATACTGCAAGTAGCAGTAAGCATCAATGCAACTATCATACGGATGGCGCCCCCTCACAACACACCCACATGATCCCTATCGACTTTGGTAACAAAATTTGATAATGTTGTTAACTAAAAATGCCACCAACATATCATAGTAGCACGGTACTAAGACGTCAGTAGCCAATACTCCACGTATCATAGCGCTATTGCACTAAGACATGAAGTTGAGTATGCTTGCTGCACTTAAAAGTACTACCAAACACACTCACCCTAATCCGAAAGATAGCCGACGTATCATAACGCTATGCGCTAAGACGCCGCCCACAACCGGTAGGGGTGTGCGATGTCCACGGGCAAGTCGTATTGCTACAACAAACCCGCTTACCACCGGCACTAAGATGATATGTCTAGGACACATCGGTTAGTGAGTCCAAGTTTACCTCGGTCTCAGAGGCTGCGAAGCAACCTACACGCCACTATAATAATCCTTTTCAAGTCCCATTTCTTTCAATATAATGCTTTTACATATTTGAGACCTTCCACATATTTGCTTTATTTCATAGACCATACTACTGTATGTCTTATTCATATGGGACTTCAAGTCATAACTCTGCTATCATAATGCTTATGCATCATAGAGACCTTCTATATTAATGCTTTGGTTCGTCAGACCTTACTATGTTAAGTCCCTAATATAGGACTAGTCATTGTGCAACCTTAGTACTAGCAGTCGGTCAGCCGACCACCCCATATATATGTACAACCTTGGGTATGTGTCTCCGACAACGCCCCAATATAAGGGAACATTACAAGAACACGTTCATTAACTTAGAAATTTTCCAATTATTACACGAACACCTTCATCAACTTTAATCCATTTTTTTCTATTATATTACAAATGTTATTTATCTTTGTTATTGCAATATAATCGCCTTGTATTTATATGATTTGATATATTTTGAACATTTTAAGCAGGTTTTTAATAAATTTAGAGATTTTTTGAGACATTTTATGCGTTTACTAATATATATAATATTCAATATTCCAAATGGATATTTTTGAACTCTATGCTTATTATTTGCATTTTATTGTTTAAATTATAATTTCTATGACATTTTTAAATGTCTGTATAATGAATTTAATTATTATTTATTAATAATAATTATGAGGCGTCACAATATCAATGATATGTTGCTAACTGGTAACATTCATTGCTATGCGGATGACAGCACTGGTGATGCTCTATACACCGGCCGTGCCAATATTTCTCGGGAAAACGTCGCTGAGTACCGGAACAAACTTGTGTCTGAAGTCGAGTCTTTGCTGAACAAAGTCTCGGATTGGGGGCGACTAAATCTAGTCCAATTTAATCCTCAGAAGACACAAGTTTGCGCGTTTACCGCTAAAAAGAACCCCTTTGTCGTATCTCCTCAGTTTCAAGGCACTCCCCTTCTTGCCTCAGCCAGTATCGGTATCCTCGGAGTCGACATATCGAGTGACGTGCAGTTTCGTGGTCACTTGGAAGGGAAGGCCAAATTGGCCTCTAAAAAGCTTGGCGTGCTCAGTAGAGCGGGACAGTATTTCATGCCGGCACACCGCCTGCTTCTTTACAAGGCGCAAGTTCGGCCTCACATGGAATACTGTTCCCATCTCTGGGCAGGGGCTCCCCAGTGCCAGCTCCTTCCACTTGACCGCATCCAACGCAGAGCGGCTCGAATTGTCGACGACCGAGCCCTTTCCGATCGGCTCGATTCATTGGCACTGCGAAGAGATGTTGCATCCCTTTGCATTTTCTTTCGCATCTACCATGGGGAGTGCTCTGAGGAATTGTTCGGATTAATCCCAGCCGCCAAATTTCACGAACGCACATCGCGGCAGAACTCCCGATACCATCCACACCATCTGGATGATTGGCGGTCCACCACTGTGCGATTTAGAAGATGTTTTCTTCCTCGCACGACCTCCTTGTGGAATCGATTACCATCAGCGATTTTTCCGGACCGATACGACTTAGGGACCTTCAAGAAAAGAGCGTACTCCTTTTTAAAAGGCCGGCAACGCATCTGCGATTCCCCTGGTGTTGCAGTTGTTCATGGGCGGCGGTAGTCACTTACCATCAGGTGAGCCGCATGCTCGTTTGCCCCCTCTCCTATAAAAAAAAAAAAAAAAAAAGATAAACAAAATGTACTGGATGTTTTCAAAGACTTTAAAAACAAAGTAGAGAATCAACTGAATCATAAAATTAAAGTCATAAGAACTGATAACGGTAGGGAGTATTGTAACTTGAATTTTGAAAAATATTTGATCACACATCAGACCTCAGCTCCGTACAGTCCTCAGCAAAATGGATTAGCCGAGAGAATGAATAGAACATTAGTAGAAAAGGCAAGGTGCATGATTTTCTATGCAAAATTAGATAAACCTGTATGGGCAGAAGCTGTTGCCACAGCTGCATATTTAGTCAATAGATCAGCGACTAGAGTTTTAGGCAATACTACACCATATAAAATGTGGACAGCAAAGGAACCAAAACTAAGTCATGTAAGAATATTCGGTTCAAAGGTAATGGTACATGTACCTCAAAGGAACGAAAAAGATGGGACAAGAAGTCAAGAGAAATGATCTTAGTTGGTTACTGCGAGAACACAAAAGGTTACCGTGTCATGAATCCCACGACTCATCAGGTCACAAAAAGCAGAGATGTCATTTTCTTCGAAAGTGGCAAAGGATTTAATGAATGTTCAATTTCAATGAATACTGTAGCTGATGAACCAGTTGAAGGTCATAGTAGCACAGATAAACCAAGGGAGTCAATCATTACCCCTCAGTCTCAAGAATCAAGTGAAAATTCAAGTGAGTATGAAACTGATAAAGCTGATTTGGATGACACTTTTCGGCCTCCGAGACACTTAATACAGCAAGACGAACAGTCCAGTAACATGACCCTCAGGCCTCGTGACAAAATTCACAAAGATAGAAAGGGATTATTCTGTTTTTATAATAATGTTACAAACCCACAGAACGTAGGGGAAGCTTTATCATCTCCACACGTCAATGAATGGAAAAAGGCAATGGATGAGGAATACAATTCTTTGATGGAAACTCAAACATGGCAGCTTGATGACTTACCTGCTGGCAAAAAGGCATTACCAAACAAATGGGTATTTAAGACGAAGACCGACCAGCAAGGAAATATTATGCGATACAAAGCGAGACTTGTCATAAAAGGTTATGAACAAAAGAGGGGCATAGATTATCAAGAAGTTTACTCTCCAGTGGTAAGATATACTTCTATTCGTTATTTGTTTGCTATTGCAGCACAATGCAATCTACACATTGATCAAATCGATGCTGTCACTGCATTTCTTCAGGGAGATATAGATACCGAGATATATATGCTACAACCAGAAATGTATACTAAAGGAAATAAAGTTTGCCATTTGCTGAAATCTATTTATGGGCTCAAACAGGCAAGTAGACTGTGGAATATCATATTATGTAAAGTTCTAAAGGAACTGGGAATTGAGCAATCAAAGACTGATCCATGCATTTATTATGATAATATAAAGAAAATTTACATAGCAGTGTGGGTTGATGATTTAATTATATTTAGCTCTCAACTAGAATATACCAAAGAGTTGAAGGACAAGTTATGCAAAAAAATTAAATATGAAGGACCTTGGTCAAGCCAAACAATGTGTGGGCTTGAATATAACTAGAGGTAAAGATACAATCATGTTAGATCAGGAGAAGTATATAAAGGAAGTGTTGTCAAGGTTCAATATGACAGATTGCAAAACTGCAAAGACACCTGGGGAAGTTGGACTAAAATTCAATAACATGAAAGAGGACTCATATGACTGTCCTTATCAGCAAGCCATTGGCTGTCTTCTATTTATAGGAACAAGACCAGACATTTCATTCGCTGTTAACTGTCTCAGTAGATACAATAAAGAAGCAAAATCTGAGCATTGGGCTGCTGTAAAAAGGGTACTGAGATACCTACAGGGTACTAAGCACTACAGACTGACTTATACCAAGAATGGTAAAAGTGAAATCATAGGATACTGTGATGCGGATTGGGCAAGTGATGCCCGTGACCGCAGATCGTGCACGGGTTATATTTTTTTGTTACAGGGTGGTGCTGTATCATGGTGCTCACGAAAACAGCAGACTGTGGCCTTGTCTACAGAAAAGGCCGAGTACGTGGCCATGTCATCAGTAGCACAAGAGGCGCTATGGCTGCAGCAACTGCAGGGAGAACTTGGAGGACAACGTGATAGCACACTAGTCATCCACAGCGACAACATGAGTGCAATCAAGCTTATCGTTAATGACTGTTATTTGCCTAGGTCCAAGCACATAGATATAAGACACCATTTTCTAAGGGAACATGTTAATAATTTAAAGTTAAAAAAAATTTATGTAAAGAGTGAAGAAAATGTATCTGATATATTACTAACAAAAGGCACTAGTGTAGACAAACATTACTATTGCATGTCAAATATGGGATTGCGTTCTGGGGTGTGTGATAGAATTGGAACGCAACCTGATTAGTTCCATTATTGTCATCTCTATATTTATTGGCACCACTATCTTTGTAGTTAGTCTGTGCTAATTTTAGACATTCTTTTTCTCTATGCACTGTGCACATTCCTTTTTATATTACGCACTACTTTGTGATATACGTTGCAAATAAAACTATTAATATTACTGTTATATTCCTTTATTTGCACAAAATCCTACAGGGATCCAGTAGAGGACACAGGTATTTAATACCACGTTTTAGGACTCCGGTGGACGTCAGAACGTCTGCCACACGACTTATTCCATCTGGTCCAGGGTAAAACTGTATGATACGTCCGAGTTTCCACTGTAGTGGAGGAGCGTTGTCATCCTTAAGTAAAACCAATTCTCCAATCCGTAATTCTCGAGCTGCTACAAAATTCGTGCCGTTGTCACAATAGATATCTGACGGCTTTCCTCTGCGAGATATAAACCGACGTAAAGCTAATACAAACGCATCTTTGCTGAGATCACTCACCGCTTCTAAGTGACGGCATTTATATTTCATACAAATAAATAGCATATGTAGCATTTAGTTACGATTTTACAGCCTCTACCTTTACGATTAACTATAGAAAATGGTCCCGCAAAGTCTACGCCAGTACTAATAAAAGGAAATCCAGCGTCTACGCGAACGGAAGGTAAGTTTCCCATTTTAGGGGTTACTGGTTTAGCAGTAAATCTGCGGCATCTGACACACTGATGATAGACAGAACGAACGACATCTCTGCCAGCGATGGGCCACACAGTGCGACGGACGGACGACTGCAGCAGCAGCGGCGCGACATGCAGCAGGCGCAGGTGCTCACGCTCGAACAACAGCCGAGTGAAGCGATGCTTGCCGTGGACTAAGATAGGATGTCGTTTTTCGAACGAGTAGGAGGATTCATCGAGGTTAAGCGCGTAGAAACGGACTTAAAGGTAAAATACTATTTTTAGAGTGTAACGGCTTATTATTTTGTAATAATTTTAATTCGTCAGGAAAAGATTCACGCTCGGAGACATGTGCTAGTTTTTCAAATGATCGAGTAAGTTCCTCAAGCTGCAGCACATCGGTAAGTTTAATTCTATTTTTACAACAGGTTATGAAACGTAAGACATAAGCGATAATGCGTTGTAGTTTAGTAAGAGATGAATAAAAATCGAAATCTATTAAATCTTGTCTATCATGGTTTAAAGTAGTAACATTGACTTCCAATTCGCGAATATCGTCGCACGGATCTGTGCGGAATGTTGGCCAATCACAGGTAGGCAGCATGAGGAAGTCTGGGCCGCGCCACCACAGGGACAGGTGCTGCAGGCGGTCGCCACATACTCCGCGCGAGTGCAGGTCAGCGGGATTCAAAACGGCACTCACATGACGCGACGAACTCGAGCCACATAAGGAACTGATTGCATCGACTCTGTTGGCTACAAAAGTTTGTAATTTGCTAGGCTCGGTGCGAACTGCGAAGCCAGGCGAGGACTATGGATGAGTCCGTCCAGTAATAGTGTCGAGATATAGGCACACGCATAGCATTAGTGGCGACGGATGCGAGCTTAGCACCCAGAAGGGCGGTGCGGAGCTCCAAGCGCGGTATAGTGTTGGATTTAGTAGGCGCGACTCGGGCCTTAGCGCATAGCAACTGAACCTTGACTTCGCCGTCATCGTTCGTCGATTTAATATAGATCCACGCGGCGTAATATAGCTCCATTGTTTTGGAGCTCTACAGACGTAGTAACATCACTCATGACATGCACCCTGGGAATTCGCAAGGTAAGTAAGCTAGGTAATTTTTGTATGAAGCAGAGCCACTCCTGTTTGATAGTATCAGGCACTGGGTCATCCCAGTTGACTTTGGATAACCATAATCTTTGAATTAGAATTTTAGGTTTTATAGTGAGTGGACTAAGAAGACCTAGAGGGTCGAACACCTTACATGAATCGGATAGGATTGATCTTTTAGTTGGATTTACATTTAGAATTTTATAGTTAGTGGGGAAATTTATAAAATCTTCGTTAGGACTCCAACCGACATCTAAAATGTGAGAAGAACAGCTTATCACTAAATCTTTCTGAATGTCAGCCTCATCGGGCTTAAATAAAACAGATGGAGAGTTACATCAGTACTATCGCAAGTTAAACCCACCACTAGTGTTTAGGCCAAACAATTAACATTGAAATTTGCATTCAACTCTCGTGTCCGCCCGCTGACTTTATAAAGGTCACCGTCGCCCCACTCCCGTGTGGTTCGCTCGGCAGAGGGCGCGAGTGCAGGATGCGAGTGCGATACCAGTAGCTCGCTGGCAGCGGTGCAGTTAATTAGCGTGTCTCGGTGGCCGCTGCCGAAGTTTCGCGCGACCGGTTTATGGTCTAGATTTTTAGAATTAGTGCGTGTTGCTTTGCTACGTAATTGTCGTTTTGTGAAAACCGCCTCGGTTTAGGTTGTCTAGGCTTTAAGTTCGTAACAAGAGGCTTGTATTGTATTTGACTGATTGAAGCGAGTTGAAGTTAGTTAAATGTACAATAAAGTTAATAGACTCAAATAGTGACAATGAAGAAAGAAACTGTCCATTTTGGACGCCTGCTGGAGTGATGCAGCATTGTGGGGTAGCATGGAAACCGTCGCGCTGCCAGGTCACCTCAGCTGGGCCAAGTCACCCACATATACACACTACTAAACATTACTTTACATGCATATCTCTACCTACGGCCTGACCGAGCCTTGGGGCGGTCTTAGATTCGGATCCAGGTACGTACCATTTATTTTCCTAGCCTGCTCCTTATTTTGTAGTATGATAGGTCATTTTTCCATAAGGCCATTTGGGCCCGAACCCTCGGCTGCCCGTCGAGGAGGCTACTGTGGGCCCTAGCCAAGGCGAGCTTTGCAGGGACAGCTGTGGGCCGTAACATTTTTGGTAGCAAAGCGTGGTTAGGATTGGTTTAATTTTGTGTCTACAATCACACCCGGCCGTAATACGTAATAATATTTTTTTTACTTTGTTGCTTGCTTCTTTGTTTGTTAGCGAGAATTGAAAGCCACGCCAGTAGGTTGCGCAAGCGGGAGTTTGTTAGGGCTAGGTATGCGTCGGGTAGGTAGATAATTCTTATCACTTAATCGAGTAATTATCGTTGTCGTATAATTATAGTAGATTAATTGTCGAAGGGTCGGTTGTCTGAGCGAGGCATTTTTGCTGATCGACTGTGGTGTGTACCTTTATTTGTCGTGTAATTTGTATTTAATTTAATAAATAGAAATTTGTATTTGTGTAATTTATTTTTAACTTGATTTGATAGGAATTGTATTAGTTATTTGTTAATTGATTTGTATTTGAGCCGCGTAATAATTTGTATTTGGGAGTGATGACATCGCGCTGCCAGGGCAATCACCAGGCCGTTTTGTGTCTGCGTGCGAACGGCGTTTCCTCTCAGGGCTCTTCCGAGCCCTCGACTCCCACGGGCGTGGGCGCTCAGCCGCGCCCCCTGTCGGGGGGGTTGTTCCCCCAGGGGCAGGAGGGTTATCGCCCCCCCTCAGTGTGAAGAGAGGGACTGCATTGCCACTCAGCGATCAGCTAGACCCTTCTCACCCCCGTCAGCTGAGTGGCCGCAGCTGGGGTGGCACAGTTCCCCCTTTGATGTAGGCAGCCCCAGCTAGGTAGCTGCCGCCCTAGCTCCCACCACGACCGCCTCCACTAATTCTTTGAGCCGTCAACAGCTCACTTGTCAAACTGTTCTATTGCCGACGGCCTCAGTGAGGGTTTACAACCCGAGCGTCGATTGTTTAACGGTACGCGCTTTATTGGATCCGGGTTCACAATACGGTGTGGCCTCCGCTTGGTTGTTGGGAAAATTAGGGCTCCCCGGGAGCGTTGAATTGCGCTGTCGGGGACTATTGGATTTGGTTTTGGTCGAGCATTTAATTAATGATGCCTTAAATTAAAAATAAAAGTGCTTTGGGTTTTCCGCGAAATGTTTCATATTTGTGGCGGTTGTGATTAAGAAGGTGAATTTAATATGCTCTTTGAATACTTACACATATGTTTTGTAATTGTATTTGATCATTGTGTTTGTTTTGTAGAAGGGAAAATTGAAACTGAATAACCCTATTTGTGCCGAAGGGAATAGGAGTCATTCCTCTCTTTGTTTTCACTCTTTTGTTGGCACTGTCGAAGA